ATTATGCATTGTATTAAAATAACTAATATTCTTCAAATCTCAAATTTTGTCTAAAATCATAAACGGACAACAGTTTCAGTTCACTAGTAATGGTAGATACTTAAAAATATACTTTAACGTATTAAAACAATAATCATGTACGCTTTAATACACTAAACTATTTTTAAAATAAACATACTATTTTTTTAACTCAAATAAACAAAAGCATACGTTCTTAAAATTATAACAGCCATTGAGTTGTATGTATTGCATGGTAGAAATCGGCTACAAGCACTGTGGCATTAGAATCAGTTTGAAATGGTATGTCATTGTACCGCCTACTGGTACATATAAGTAAAAAAACACATACAGTAAAGCCATAGTAGGTACTGGAATACCGAAAAACCTAGATAAGGTTGAATGTATATTTTAAAACAGATACACCGGTATTAGGACCAGCATACCGAAAACCGTGTACCACGTCAACCTGTATTATAATATAGAGTATCATTTCAGTATTGTATGATACACGTATGTACTTCAGTATTGCAGTATACCACTCAAGAGGTATTTGAGCGATAACCAGTATACAAAGTTTAAATTATTTAAAACTAAAAAAACTATTTCAAAGTAATTTAAACAGACATGATATTGGCTCACCGACTTCACAAATTTCGTTCAAAATGTGTGCCAAGATTTTGCGTATAATATGTTAGAATTTGCGAGTCGGTTCCTAGAAATTGTTAGCCATTACTTCCCACGCAAGCCAATTTCAGGTAACTCACGCATCTTACACAAATCTTTCGACAACGCAAACGAATTCCAATTTTTATTAAACCTTCCAGAAGCTATACCAAATAAAACAAAAAATAAAAGTAATCAACATTACAACATTAAAAACTCATGTCCAACTCTTGACGACTTAAAATGAACATTTTGGGACCTGTTAGCCCAATTAGGGTGGTTGGGCCGATTCTGGAACTTTAAAAGCTCACACTTCAGCTATATTCTTCTACTAAAAAAATAACAATACATTTATTGTTATAAATAACTATAATTTTTCCTGGTATTAATTTTTAATCTTAATTTGATAAAGATCTTAACAATGTACGTTTGATTGTACTTTTAATACTGAAATAGAATGCATTTCATTTACAAATACTACTATAAAATGTTCTCTTATCTATCACGTAACCACGTCATGTTATTTCTTATTACACATTCCCTTAAGCACATCGTAAATATTTTCTGTTGTCAACAAAACAAATTAAAATAAGCTAATAGTAAAAAAAAAAAACTTTTGTATATTATAAAAGTGAACTTTTCACATACAGATTAAGTTATCTTTTTCTTAATAAATAAATAACAAAATATAAATAAAACATATTTATAGCATTACAATAAAATTTTTATCGACTGATTAATGTATCCCGCACTCATATATAGTCAATGAGTAGATAAAAATATAAAATATTATCAGGCATTAATAATCTAAAACATAAATGATCGCGCAAACGAAGAAAACTATAACACACTCAGCGTAAACAGTAAAAAAAAATAAAACATTGAACAATTAACACTGATTGAGTGAAGTATCCTGTGACCCACATGGTAGTATAAGATGAGTAGATGACTAACCGCATAAGACTAAGTATTACAATATTATTTGTAGTCTGTCTGTTAATGGATGAAACAATATTTGGGACAAATAATTTCACGTATAGATTGACCAAATGGTCAGGCAGGAGTGGTCAACACTTGGCCTAAACTAATTTCATCAAAAATTCTTTCAGATAAGTATATTTCTCTATTTTTTCTTACCAACTTATATAAAAATATATTATTTATAAACTATGTCCCTAGGTAAGTATAAACATAAAAAATATGCACACTCGATGAAGAGTTAAAATACTATGGAAAACATACAAAAATAAAAGAACGAATTACTCTAAGTTGACTGTTTGTTATAATGAAATAAATTACTGCATCACTATTAGCTATATGTTTCCATAGATTATTATAAAACAATATAACTCATTTAAGTCCATTTCCCTAAAAGTTACACCAAGTATTATTTTACAGGGACGCGGTCCGTGCGTTCAAAGATTCACTGTCACATATTCACTTAGTACTTAATTTTTCCTCCACCAATTTTAAATATTCGGTAAGTGGATATCGGTAATTGAGAATTTTAGCCGAAAAGTTTTTAGTGGGTCTTATACTTTTATTGCGTCTTCTTAAAAGTCGTGCATCGCATTAAACAGATAGTTACAAACTCACAAATACCCCTCAGTAATCCAATGCAATAATAGTTGCAAGCAAACACACCAATAATGTTCATCTGTCCGCGCAAACATTTTAACCGGATGATTTAAACGTTTTTCGTCCTTCATACCCACAATAAAACAAACACCACTGACGACCGTGACTGTGGTTCGTAATATTATGTTATGTGGTTACAATGTAAACCTGTGCGGGTAGTAGATAGCGCGACGACGGTAGCCAGATATATCATAATAATTACGAGCATAAAGCGCATATGTATCGCAGATAACGAAACTATGAGAGTAAATACAATATTTAGGTTATTGTTTAAATGAGTAAATATCTACAATACGTACGATTAGACTATATTATACTATATCATGTGGGTACAATAAACTGTGCACATACAAAGGATATAATGTTTTTATTAGAATATCTTGTCGCTGATCAACTTGTGCGTATCGTTGGACATACCTATAAGAAACTAAACGTTAAATACGTCCTATGTCGAGCACAGACGGCTTGAAAAGTATAAAGTCATACATCAATTCGGTGGGATGTGTGTGACTGCAGAGGTCTTAATTATCTTCGAATTCTCAATATTTAAACGAAAAACAACAATAATATTGAAATAATGTGAGAGTACAGGTAAACTTGTTTTTTATTTTACTCGTTAGTAAACCTACCACGCATAGATTTGATTTGAACAATAGCAATACAAAATATGTACCTAATACACTTAATAAAACAATAATATTATAGTCACACAATAAGAGTGAGCTAAGGTTACCTACACCACCAGTGAACATTTATTTTGAAAGGCAATATTATTATATTATGTAGATGGTAATCAGTATATCGCTATTTTATTTCCGGCATCTTGAAGAGAAAAATTTGGATAATTTTTCTGTGTGGATACCGATATTGTTGGTCGATTAAACAAAAATGTATAGTATCAAACTTCATATTTTAAACGTTTAATAAGCATGTTATTTTGATTTCATTAAAATATTGTGCTTCAGCTGATTCTCAAGTTTGTTATGCCCAAATTGGTTGTAACAACACTATGTAGAGTATATTATTTTATCTTGGCTATTTGTTTTCATTTTCACTGTGGTAATCACAGTGTTTTTGATTGGTAATTTGTCACTAACACAAACATATTTACGGTAGTAAGAAAACTTGTACCAAACATACTAATAGTATAATTCCTATTTTAGAACTAATTTATAGTATTTAATGTACAACATATTATAGTGTACCATGAATAATATATATATAAAAAATAAAAATAAATATATATCAATGAAACACTATATTGATTGTGCTAAATTTTGTTATTTAATAATTTGAAAAAATGATTTCAGTCCATACAAAGAGGTTTAAAAAAATTAAATGTTTGAACATGGTAAATATTTTTGTTTGAAGAACAAATTATCATATAAATGTATGATAATGTGTACACTGTAAATATTTTTTCAAGAGTGACAAATTTCCAGTAAAACATTGTTTGGTTTTCCAGCAACGTGTGTACGGTAAAACAAATGTTTTTGATCCGATGAATACCTAGAATACCTAGCTTAATAATTCTTATTTTTATTTATTAAAATAATTAAATACTCTAAGTACTACTACTGGGAAGAGATATTCATATTATAACTTATTATTTTATCAAGTGTGTTTTAAGTAGGACACATAACATAATTGATTTAATGAACAAAAAATTGAAACGTATTATTTATGTATGCGAATAATGTAAAGATTGCACGTTTATCGGACACACAGGCCTTGTGGTCGTGGTCGTGGTCTATAGATAAGATAGGTCAGTTGACCCATAGTTTTTTTCAATATTTTGTGGTTCTTATGTTTACACATCTACATAGACTATTTATGTTTAAAAAAATGTGTCCAATAATAATCATGTCACTGGCCTCCACATTTGTTACAATGCAGTACCTATCTCTATTCTCTTTTGAAATATGGTTATAAATATTAAAAACAACTTTCATAAACAGCAATAATATTGTCTTTTGTAGTGTTTTTCAACATAGGTGTAATATTTATTTTCAGGGGCCGACAATAAAAAAGCTATTTTCGTGTACTAAGGTAGTGTTATTGGGGTGTTGGGTAAAATAACTAAACCTATTGACACACTTTATATGTATAATAATATATTCTTTCAACGAGCTATACTCAGTATGTTTATTATGATCTACATTGTACGGATATGTTGATAGTAATATATATTGTGGAGGTTACAATGTTCATTTTCCATAGTATATTAACTTACTCAAATAATTTTTATTCGAATAACATTTTCGAATTAAATTCTACTTATAATTATTAACGCTTTAATAGTTGTATATGCTAATTTTAAAAAAAAAGTGTGCATGTAGTTTTCACAAAATCAAATAAATAATTTTAAAAAAAATTGAGTTGTAACAACAAAATATTATTCAACCGGTTTTTGTGGAAATTTGTAGGATTTAAATTTTTTTGGTAGTTTTGATGAAGTGATAAATTCATTAAGATTTAAGCTCATCTTAGGGTTGTGTTGCACAGTTAATCGGTGCCAATCAGAGTGTCCTCACTTGGCTGATATCAGATCAACAGTGCCGTTAAGTCCCGCGGATACGTCCCTTGCAAGCTATACAGAAGACGACCTCGTGTAATAATATTCATGAAAATACCTAATATCATTTGTAACCAGATAAATCGTCGATGCGGGTGGGTAAGAGTTGGCTTTTAGCTTTTACCTGAGCGTATCTGTCCACGACTCCTTCGCCCATGTTCAGGTCCGTGCCAGCGGTGCAGTTGCCGCCCAATTGCTGCTGCGACTCAACAATGCGGAGCAGTGAGTTGGCCTTGTGTCGGTGGTGCTGTTGCTGCTGTCCGACATTGTCCGTCACCAGCGACGGGTGCAGTGGCCCGGACGTACCGCCACCAGGATCGTGTAAGCGTCCGTTCAAGGTGGCCGTGGCCACAGTCACGGTGGCCACCATGGCCACCGTGGCCGAGGCCGATGTGCCGTTGGCCACCGGCAGTTGCTGCATGTCGTAATGCTGTTGTTGCGCCCACCTGGCCATCCTGGACCGGCCGTGCCGGACGGTGACGGCCATGGCGCTGAGCACCCACATGGACACCACAGTTGCCACTAACATGACTGCGGCTGTTGCGGTGACGGCAATGGCGGCAGCGGCGGCCACACCGGAGCGGTCGCGGTGGTCGCTGGTGCGTTCCATCGGTGGGCCCGCCGGCCGCAGCAGGCCATCGTCGGACGCACGGACGCACGGACGCGTCCAAACTGGCGGCCAATGCGTGGGACGATACGGCAGTGGTGTGTGCGGCTCACGTATGTTGCTTTCGCCCGGTATGCGACCACGGGTGGTAAATACCGATTACCACGCCGGAACGCCGCCGGGGCGCCCGGGACACGGAGCGAACGGAAACGATCGTATGTGTTCCACGCGTGTGAAAACTCGTCGCAGTGTCCGCCGATCGCTTTGCATAAGCGTACCACCCAGGGCGACGTTGGTGACGTGCGAACCCGGTTGGCGCCGTCGAGCGACTAACGGACCGCCTCAACGTTGACGCGGGTGGGCGCAAGGGCGACGAGGGCGCCACGCGTTGCGACCGTACACCGCGCTCAATCACCGCCGTCGCACGCTCGCTTCCTCGCTGCAGTTAGAAGAATATAAGACGTGTTACCGGCCTGCCGCTTATTCGGTGGGTGTTTCAGGCCGCAGGTGTAGTTGGTTTTGAACAGCGACGCCCTCCGTCAAACAATCAAACGTTTTTGGAATTTACAAAATGTTTAGTAGGTACAGATAGTTTTTGAAAACACCCGAGATGGTTAGTGCAAACTATTTGCACAAAGTCAGCAACACAATTTCCAGACTTAATATCCCTCAATATTACCCAAAATTCATGTACCTACACAATAATAATATTGTAGTATAATGTGTGTAATGAGGATAGGGCTTTGTGTCCCCCCCCCCCCATCAACCTCACATCAGTGATTTATGATAGGTGATCGGTAATAATAAAATTACATTAATATTTAAAAATATCATGCCGATGTAACTTTAATATTTTTAAATTTGCAATAAAACAACTTATGATGAACCCTGTGTGAAAATAAGTTTTATAGTCATATTTTATAGAAAAAAACGAAAAAAAAATTGAAAATAATAAAGTAAGTAGTAGTATAGAATTATAGCTCAACGAATAAATATTTATAAACATTAATTACCTACACCTATGAATTTAGGAGAAAAAGTTAAATTTGAGCCGTTTAAAGATGAAAACCTAATGTCGAAACAATCTGAACTTAAAACGCTCATAAACAAATATTTTGATAATTTTTAAAATAGATAAATGTTTAATACAAACAACTTATGGCACGATTCTTGTACCAATTCAATTTTCCAACTTTCTAACCAAACGAAAATATTGATATATGAAGTAGAAAAAAAAATATGTATATAAAATCGAAAATGTCATAATAAATGTCTAAAAGACTCAAATGCTTCTAATCTACACCAAAAAAATACCGATGATTTCAAAAACTAGTATTTATAAAAGTTCCCACTTTCCTCTATTTTTTTTTGTATTCCCGATTATTTTTAATAAAAGTACTGGGAATCTACAATTTGTGCGCTAACACTTTCTGCTCAGAATCTGAAATTATGTTATTTATTATGTTCTGAAGCGAAACACGAAAATAATAAATAATTACAAAAGTGATAATATTAGTAGGTATTACAGCCATTCGCCACGTCAAGTGGAATACGATAAGTACAATTACACTTAGCCAAACGAATTAGACAGCAAATCTTCTGGAGGGGGGGGGGAGGTGCTAATATTCACAGGTGGATGCCACAGGTATGTTGGGTGCATTCGATCGAGTGTGTTGAAATTAGGTGGGACGATGACCACAGCTCACCATGTCTGGTTACATTCGACGTGTGTCACGCGACAGCCGACGACAGCAAGACGTGCTTTTGAAAATAATTATGGTATTCAATATTTAAACGACTTTCAAAAACTATAAAATATTATGTAGTATGCTTATTGTGAATATAAACATATATTTAAAACCATAGTTATACGATTGCGTGCAAATACTGGTAAGTAGGCACTCGATAAACATAAGTTATAAGTTATTACGAACTATGGAAATTAGTGTTTTACGTTTTAAAAATACTGAGGTTATTTGTATTGTTTTTCTAGACCATTGATTTCATCCACTTGACAACCTTAATTAAATTAACTTATTTTCAGAACAGTACAAACTATTTTACATGGTATTATGTAAGATGGATATTATAGTGTATAATTAAAACTAACAGCAGAACATTGTTTGCTTTTAATAATATGTGATAAATCGCATAAAATTGGTACACTGGTATTTCGTCAACTTATCTGCTTATACACTAAGTGCCCGTATCCGTCTTGTTAAATATAATTTATTTTTGTTCAAATATTGTTGTAATGAATACAGGCATGGACCACATAAAAATGTGTGATGGGATGTAAATTAGAGAGGAAAAGTTCGTTTCTAATTTATTAAAACTACTTTTTAATAACGAACCTTGTGAATTCGATAACTGAAATATAATATCTCCAAAAGAGGAAAAACTGTATTAAAAAAACTACTTATTATAATTATATTATTACATTAAGTTTCCATTAAAATTACAGTATTGTCAAATACTGAAAATCCACCATAATATGGCAGTAGTGTACTTAAAAATGCCTATATAGGACTCCGTGTAACGTAACTGAATTATTTAAATATAATAAATCAGTATAATAATAATATATTATTTAACTCTATGGAATAGTATTACTATTTAAAATAAATAATTCGTAAGTAATAAACGAAAAGTATAACATTTTTATAGTTAAAATTTCAAATAAGCTGAATAATTATATTTTAAAATAAACATTAAAAGTTATAATTCTAATCTCGAATTAACTATAAAAGTAATACGGAGACATCAAATAGGAATTTTAACTAAAATAAAAAGTTATGTAATATTTGAACCTAAACTTGTTACATTGCTGAATGACTATATAGGTGTAATCACAATAATTATACAAGTCACAGAGTTTCATTTCATAAAATCGCAAAACATTAAAGTTGTTTTCACATTATACACTGCGTCGTGCCATGTTTCAAACTATTATATTTTACACGGAGGTGACGTATGGTTACAGTAACACATTAAAATATAAAAGTTGAATAATATGTTTGACACACACAGTCACACCCTGTGTAGTGTGAATACAGCTTTATGACGTCACACGCCTAAAATGGTCTCCGTATTACAAAATACAAAACATAAGGTTGTTAAAATAATCATGAGTCGATTTGATCAGGTAAGTGGACTTGTGACTTACGTAATTTTGGTATCTTCATTTCTATACATACTCATTATACTTATCTGTTTCAAGAATTAAACTTTTGCGAGATAATGAATAGTGGCTAGTATCTAGATCACAGATCTGACGGAAAACGATCAGAACTCACTCGCAGCGACTAAAGCGAGGGAGAGAGAGCCACTCGTTGATCAATACAATTCTAAAATGTCTTTCGTGGATGGTGCTATGTGTGCTAAATAATATATGTTGCATAAATTGGAGTCACTTAACTTGTTTTTAGGGAAAAAAAGGTTTTCCAATAATTCATCGTAACATAGAGAGATAGATTCCGAGAACACATTTAATAATATCTAGTTGTAATTTAATGAGTCTAATTAATTATTATTTATTAGTAATGTATATCTACCATTTAATAACATAGTTTTTCCACCTTGACAAATTTTCAGTCCGATTCATTTGAAAATGAACTTTTTTTTAAACACCTATTTATAAGCTTTTCAATTTTTGCACGCAATATTTTTCACTGAATTCCTCATGAGTCATGACTTGTTATTTTATTTACTACGTTTTGAATATCGATTAAGTAACTACTGTCCATGATTCGATATAATCAATTATTCAAATACCACACAATAAATTGTGTAAGTATATGTTTTTATTTTTTAAGCTCCATACACCTTTGTCAAAATAATATGTTATAATATAAATACATAATAACATTATAATGTCACTCACCAATAGAGTTTTTGAAGGACTTGTAGGACTGTTGTCTATAATTTTATATGATGGTACCTACACTCAATGTTCCTATTTTTTTGCTCAATAGAATTTCCACCAAAACTTCACAATAAATCATACACATAGTATTATGCAATAACTGCAAAATATTAAAACTTCGATAAAAGTCTTTTTTATTAAAAAATGTACATTTTAAATATGATTATGACGTATTCTTCTAACATAGGATTGACGACAAGGATGTTCAATTAAAGAGTACAAATTACATTTATACATCATAAGTAATTTAAACAATAATTATGATTTTTTTTAAAATTAATTCAGAGGAGCAATATATTTTTTAACTGTTTATAATATTATGTTTGTTTTAATGTTTGTTTGTTATGATTATTATTTGTTTAATATTTTGCAATGAATGCATTGTACAATAATAATTAGAAAATACATTTATTTCTATGGTGACCTTGAATATTTTCATAAATCCTAACTCTACTCATTTCAAGTTTAAGTAAATTAAAATATTTTTGTTTTGTTTTCAATTTTCAATTACATCGATGAATTAATTTAATTATCTATCAGGGCATACTCCAACTTAAGTCATTAATTGATGATTAAAAATTATTTACATTAAGTTTCTTACATAATTTGAATATCGAATATTTATTACGCGTTGAGTATCAATAAAAAATAATTATTATTTAAACTTAAAAAAAAAAACACTTGATTACTGAAGTATCAAATCGTATTGAATATTATTACAACCACCGATCATTTATTCAAATAAATAAATAAATAATATTACGTATTTTACGAATACTATTTGTGAAAAAATTTTAATATTTACTCAATATGTTTAAATGTATAAATAATATATATTTTTTTAGCAGGTCGTCTATTATTTCAATGATTGTAATAAATACATTCAATGGGAAACTTGCACTAGAATGCATTTTAACCTTCAATATTATTGATATAATACATAAATATGAGTACTTAAGGCTGTAACAATAATTGAATACTCATATTATTGTGTAAGCACTAATTGAGTTGATTTTAAAGGAAAGGCTGAGTCGAATAATTATTTTATATTAAATCAAATTCAATATACTTTATGTGCGGTTTATCACATCGTATACGTAGAGTTTGTTGATCGGATACTGCAGTGTGCACATTCTGTATAAAACAATATGCAGAAAATTGGTACTGTATTGGAAACGTTAAATTAGTTTATCATACGTGTTTGACCCATTTAGTCATCTAGATGTTATATACGTTTGCATGGCAGATACGCGTCGAAGGTTGTTTTTTTTCATTTGAACAAGCGTTCTGGCATTGCTTCCGTTATAATTATAGGGATAATCTCGATGCGACGCTACACATCTGTAAGATCACGCGTGTATACGTGAATGGAATGCAATGATAGTTGATT